CCCTGATGGCGAACTGCCTGGGGGAGAGATATGCCGAGCTCCCTAGTGGTGAGCTACCTTGGTGGACTCGTCATTTTCCCTGCTCCTAGGTGGCCTGTGACTCAGAGAATCGTGGAGCTCCCTAGTGTAGCGCAACTCGACTGCCCTCTGCATGAGGTGATCTTCTCTCCTTTGTAGGCAGTGGGAGCTGAGGGACCTACGAGAACTCCATCTTTTCCTCCTCTTTGTAGGCGGCGGGAGATGAGGAACCTGCGAGAACTAAATCAGAAGACCCGGGGGTATTTTCCCGGCGAGGACTCTCCGATGCCTAAGTTAGCATTCCGATTGTAGGGAGCTTGGAGAGAAATGAGAGAGCTAGAGAGCAGGGATTACCTCCATTTTTTCATTCTCTCCCCCTTGTCTTTGGGGGTCGGAGTCCTTATATAGTGGTGTCCTGTCAAATCAGGCATAACAGTCTCTGTCAAGTCAGGCGTAACCACCTCTGTCTCTCTGTCGTAGCCGTTACTGTCAGAGCTGAGGTGGCAGGTGCATGCGGCTGCTGCAGAGTACGGCTCTGCTAGTCAAGGGACAACTCTCAGGGCTGGCAGGCACGGCGCCGCCTAGCAAGAGATGTGGGCGCAAGTCTCCAAATCTGTTAGGTACGGTTGTCAGGCAGGAGATCTTCCTGCGATACGCCAAGCTACCCCTAAGTGGCGAGCTGCCTATGCCGAGCTGTCTATAAGTGGCAAGCTCTGCCGAGCTGGCCAAACTTCCCGAGCTGCCCAGTTGTCAAAAGACTACACTTGATTTGCATGAGATGCCAGGTGTCACAATTTCACTGGAGGACCAAATGTGTCATCATCAGTAATACAGAAAGAGAAGTGTTATTTGTTATCTAAGAAAGATGCATCGGCAACTAAATTGGGATCGAAAGCACCCAGTAAATGCGAAACGGTGGCTGCTGCATAGCCATAATATATCAATAAAAAAAGAAAGAAAAATAACTCAAATCTGTTTTGCCTATGGATCTCACAATCTTCTTAGATTTGTTTTGTCAAAGCCCTTATTCCCGAATGCTTCAACTACAAATGCTTCACCCACAAATCGTTCAACATTCATGCCTAGAAACCGTTTGTCAAATATATCGCCACCCACCGGCTAGTCTATTTCTATCAAAAACCGTGCACCATACTCCGGAAACCGTTCCCTAACCTTCATTTTGGGATTAAAAATAAACCCTAAACCCCTATTCAGCAACCCATGGTCATAAACTAGAATCTGCTCTCCCAATAGTCTCCTCAAAAAAGTCATCATTTCCACCAGTAGCCTCTTGACGGGCAACAGCCTTTGCGACAAAGATCCCATACTTTCACATTCATTTCTTCCATCTAAGACGATTGAAGTATGAGTGGAGTCGCTTTCAAACCACATAGCGGTTCTTAATCTTTCTATTTGTTGAAGTTTGACCTGCCATAGAATTCTGTCTTGTTCGTTGACTGTAGAGTAAAGTAGACAGCAAGAAGTAGGAGAGGAAAGAAGAAAAGAGAGAAGAGAGAAAAGAGAGAAAGGCTGGTTCGAATTAGGGAAAAAAGTTAATCCCTTGATTCGGCCAGACCTATTATTATATTATTGACTTATTGAAAAAGACTTGAGTGCCCTTCTTTAAGTAAGAGGCACTCGAACTAACATAACAGTACACATCAGTATTCTCAACAAGTACAAAGACTGAAATACCCCTTCACTAACACCACTAACACTATTTATGGTGGACTATCACTTTGTATACAAGGATGTTGAAGGAGCGAGTACACAGTGGGACGATGATATACAGAGAAAACTAGGTAACCCTACCTCCCAAACCTGCTCCTTTCAAGCCTCCCCCCTTCACTCCCTCTTAAGACGAAGACTCAAAACCCAAAGACAAGAGATGCACTGATAAGAAAATTGAAGAGGAGCTTGAAGACGATCCTGATCTTGACAATGACCAATGCCCTGAAGAGTACAGGAAGAAGCGGTTGGCAGAGATGAGAAAGGCAGCCAGGATTTCAATGAAGGTCAAAAAAGTAATTTGACTAAAGAGCAAAATGGATATTTCAGCTATTCCGTCAATATTTAATGACAATGGTATTTTTCCATGGCAGTAGGGGTAGCATTAGACAGTAGTCAAACAATAGCTAAACCATAAGGGTGGTTTAAGAAATTTACCAAAAAAATGATGAAATCGTGAGGTCCTTGAATTCTTCTTCATCAATCATTGTCCTACATTGGATTTATGAGAGAAAACCGATGGCACAGTTGTGAAACAAGTCATCACATCCCCCTAGCTACTCAACTCTAAACCTCAATGATGTTGAGAAATTGTTTAAATCAGTTTTAACCGTTCAGATATTAACGAAAGTTGGGAAAATCATTGGAGAGACTTACTATCCAAAGCTCTATCTAGAGTTACCTCTGACCATTGTCCCATTGAGCTAGGACAAGAACATTTCAAGAGTGGACCCAAACCCTTTATATTCGAAAACATGTGGCTGACACACCCAGATTTTGTAAAAAAGATTGAGGATTGGTGGAATCAAGATATGAGGGGGGTGAAGTGGAAAGGGGTAAGGTTTCATAAGAAGTTGAAAAGCTTGAAGGGGAACTTAAGAAAATGGAATAGGGACCTTTTTGGGAAAATAGAGGAACAAAAATCCAATCTGATGACTTGGATGAGAAGGAATCTCAACGGACCATGAATACTCAGGAAAGAGAATTAAGGTGGAGGTTGAAAAAGGAATTAGAGGAGGTTCTTTTGCGAGAAGAGATATCTTGGAGGCAGAAATCTAGGCATAAATGGATAAAGGAAGGTGATAGGATACCAATTTTTTTTCATGAGATGGCCAATGGA